CGTCCCCGGCGCGACCCACTCGTTTGCTTCCGTTTGACGACGACACAATGGACCATGTTTTCGGCCGCGTGGGCGCCAAGACGACCTTTTAGCTCTTTGTAACCGAGCGTTTCTGTCGATAGACGTGTCGCGACTAAGCTTACTAGTCGTCTTATTGAGTTTTATTAACGTCTTGTGTGTGTTTCTTTGTGCCTGGTCATCTTGATTTGATTGGCATCTCGAGTCAGTCGAAGATCGCAACATTGCATCCGGCTGGCGTGGCCAATCATATCCCAGAGAAAGCAGTAATTATGACCAATCCCTATCGAGATGGCGTGTCCCAACATCCGAAAAGACTGAGATGAGTGGCGGCGTCCTTGACGGGCCCGACTACAATGGCCTCATCACGCTGCAGGACGGGCGCCATGTGAGCTACGCCCAGGTCGGCGACGCCAAAGGTGTTCCCGTCGTCTGCCTCTTGGGCATGCGCGGCCATCGGCACTTCATCTACCTCTTTAAGGAGCTCGCGCTCCTCTACGGCATCCGCCTCCTCTGCATCGACCGGCCGGGCTACGGCCTCTCGGACCCGATCGCGGATTCGAGCTTGCCAGCGCCCATTGCCTTTGTCGACATTCTCGACCAAGTGCTCGCACAGCTGCACATCGACCAGTTCGGACTCATGGCACAGTCGGCCGGCGCGATTTACGCCTTGGCGATCGCGAGCCAAAAGGCACTCGCATCACGCCTCATCGAGCCGCTCACACTGCTTTCACCATGGGTCGGTATCTCGAACCGGTCGTGTCCGCGACTACTCAAGATGGCGTCGTACTGCCCGACGCGGCTCATTGCCGCCGGCATGAAGCTTGTGAACGCGTCGGTCGACCTGAGCATGGCCTATGTCGACCCCAACCAGTCGGTCCGCACGCTAGGCCACGGTCTTTTGCTTGCCGACGACAGCGGCCACGAGACCACCGAGGTGATGCCGCTGAGCAGCTCGCCGCGGCTCCGGTTTGGCGACTTTCGCGCGCGCATGGACGCCGAGCCCCATAATGCGTACCACGACGCGCTGCTGTGTCTCGGGAAGGACCGGAATGGCTGTGGTTTCGAGCTCTCGGATGTGACCGTCCGCGTCCACGTGGTCCACGGCGAGAAAGACACGCTCGTCCCGAGGAAAGCCGCGATCGAATTTGTGGCTGCGGTTCCGAATGCAACGCTCGACTTGGTGCCACACGCGACGCATGCGCTCTTGATCTTTCAAGAGGAAGTCATCGCCGATATTTTTGCCTCGTTTGCTACCTCGTCGTCGGTGCGGTCTAATTAATCTCTTGAAATGACCCGCCTCGCACGTGCTTCTTGCAGGATTGGGGCACGCCAAAAGACAGGTCTTTGGCGTTGGCGTCACATTGCGTAGTGCAATTGTGCCAACAAAACAGCGTCGCGGATTTTTGGTTGCCGGCTAGCGCTCTTTTACCTCGCCGAGCGACACGACTGCGCCGTTTCGTACAATTGGAATGGTGGATTGAGGATAGATAGATAGATAGATAGATAGATAGATAGATAGATAGATAGATAGATAGATAGATAGATAGATAGATAGATAAATGGCGCTTCTTCGCGTTCATCAACACAGCAGTACTAGCTGATCAAGCTCAATGCAGGTGCGTTGAGCAGCGTTTTTGTGTTTTGAGAATATATATATATGAATGTGTTCCGTGTTCTCTTCCTTACAAAGAGTTCACGTACGTAGTGTTACGCCTAAATGCGTGGGAGTTGGCACCAGCACTTGGTCGTTGGGAGTGAGCTGCGCACGGAGAGATCCATCTAATGGCGGACCCCGCTCGCCGAGGGATAGCTCGCTCGAGATCGTACGCAGGCACCTGTACTCGGACCACCCGTCAGAGGAGTGCCAGCCGTCGGGTGTCAAACGAAACCGCTTGAGCCCGCATCCGAATAAATCCGGAGACCGCCCGAGCACACAAAGCCGACGCTGCGGGCTGAAAACACGGGAAAGCCAGCGACGTCTCATCTCCTTGACGGCCGCCGGGGACTCGACGGGCCTTGAATCGTCGAGGGGCATTGGGTGCCGAGCGCGCGAAGAGCGGCGCCGTCGGCGCGACCACCGACCGCTGCCAGCGACCGGCACTTACACAACAATGGACGTAAGACACAGAGCACACAGCTCGCCGGAGCGCGCCATGGCCTTGCGGGCATCGCGGCCGGCCGCTCCGCTTAGGCACCAGGTGCCTTGAGAATGGCGTCACCCAAATCCAGCCAAATAGTAAAAAATGAGTCGACTCACTTGAACGGAATTGGTTCTCACTCTGGCTCATGATTGAAGGAGTCGATGTGAGTTGATATTGACAACAGAGGGATTCCCGAGATACAGGACTCTGCAGCACTGAGTCGCACGCTTGACGCCTGTCGTTGATTGACTGAAATCGAATTGGGATCGAAAAGGGCGTTTCGAGGGTTGGGTCGAAACGCACGCGCCGCAGTCGTTTTCTGTTGCCGCAGTCGTCCGACCATGCAGCGCCATGACTCCAAGACAATGCTCAAAAAGATGGAACTCGACTACGACAGTCGCATGGAGGAGCAAGTGGACGACCTCCGCGAGAAGATGCGCCTCTTGCGTACGATGCTGGCGCGACGAGTTTCACCGATCCACTCACCGCGTATAGAGGTCGACCGCAAGAACAACGTCGAGGCGCTCGAAGCCAACAAAAGCTCCAACAAAGATCTGATCCGGCAGCTCAAGCAAGAAAACAAGGAGCTCCGCAAGCAAATTGCCGACATGAAGCGTGTACGATGCCTCCGGTTTCTTACTGCATTCCGATTTGGCGCCTAGTCGGAGCACGCCGCCGGCAACGTTATGGGTGGTAACGACCTCGACGACGAGACGGCCCAGATTGCACACCACTTGACCAAGTGCCGCAAGCAGTACGACGACGTGCGGCACAAGGTCGCGGCCCAAGTTGACACCCTCGAGCAGCTCAAGGTACGTGATCTTTCCTCGTATGGGTAGCTTGTCCACTACTCGTACCTAGGACAATGTCAAGGACCTCGAACTCGAGAGCAAGAAGCCGAGCATGGAAGACACGCCCGAGACACGCAAGATCCGTATGCTCGAGAACCGCCTCGACAAAGCAATGATCAAGTACAACGAAGCGCAGAGCATTCGCAAGACGTACGAGCAGATCGTCAAGCGCCTCAAACGAAGAGCGCATTGGCTTTGACAACCAGCTCG